AGAGAGAGAGAGAGAGAGAGAGAGAGAGAGAGAGAGAGAGAGAGAGAGAGAGAACAGGGCAGGAGACAGGAGAAGAGGGGAGAGGAGGGGAAAGGAAGAGCCTCCTGTGAATTGGGTGCACCAATGCTCAGCAGAGGGCACTGAAACCTTGGGTAACTAGGCTAACAGAAGGTTTTAAGCTGACTGAAGAGGATGCCTGGGAACAAAACTGCCCTCTAGAAGGGAAGGAAGCAAGCTCTGAGCCATCTCTCCAGCTCTTCATTCCTCTTGAAATTCTTTGCTCTGGATGAGGATAAGAAGATGAGGGGCAAAGAAGGGGAGGAGAAGAAAGAAGGAGGAAGAGAGGCTTGAAACCCCCATCTGAGTTTTAAGCTGTGTGTTGATAATTTCTACAAATGTAGTGTGTGAGAGTGGCTTTCAGGCTAGCCACTGCAAAGACTAGTAAGGCCACTCTCTTGCTCCCTGCATTGTGCATCTGATGCTCCGTTCTCAGGGTGAGTAGTCCCTCCAGTTATCAGCATATGCATGCTTGTAATTTCGCGCGCACATGTGTGTGTGTGTGTGTGTGTGTGTGTGTGTGTGTGTGTACATTGGTTCTGTCCTTCCACCACATGTGACCACTAGGAATCAAAGTCAGGGTATTGGGCCCTGGGAGCAGAGCCCTTTGAATCATCTTATCTACCTTCATTTCAGGAGTTTTGCTTTGATCTGTAATTGTTTATAGACCAGATAATTCTTGGAATAAGAAGCAGTTTTTCTTGTGCATCTTGCCTCCTTTCTTATATTGGCAAAATTTTTAAGCCAAAATTGAGGCAGGCGCGCTTATTTTCTTTGAAGAACATATAGGTTCATTTTCACAGATGCAATGATGTAATAGTCTTATGGATTTTCATAGCCAGCCTGTTAGGCTGGGGAAATGTGTGTTAGTGTCTGTCCTTGCCTGATTTGTTTTGTCTCCTCCATTCATTAGCTAAAAACTGTTAAAGCTCTCCACCAGTTATGTGCTTTCTACATCAAGGCAACAGCATACAAACTCTTGGTCCCTAGGTGGTCGGATGTTTGGGGGAGAGGTTAAGGAACCTTTAGGAGCTGTTACTATAGGGGACATTTCTTATTCAAATCACTGCACAGTCCATAATTGAAAGCAATCAAGGCAACAGGCACTTAAAGCAGCGGTTCATATTGCCTCCACAGAGAAGAAAAGGAGCAGTGAAGTGATGAACTCACCCTAATGAACAGCTCAGTTTCTCCACTCTCTTACAGTCCAAAATCCCCTGCCCAGAAAATGGTGTCACCTACAGTAGGAGGGGATTTTTCACCTCCCTCCCTCAGTTGTACTCACATGCTAACCTAATCTATATCATCCCCACCTCAGGAAAACCCATTTCGCAAGTGATTCTAGACTGTGGTAAACTGTCAACTGAAACCAACCACGTGTGAGCATTGCAGAGATGGGTGTAGTAACACCCGTTTGTACTTCTCTGACCCAGAATTGCTAAGAGGTCTCTCTTACTGTGCTTGATTTACGGGTTCCCAAATTTGTTTAATCAGCACTCATGGAAGTCCCTACTGCCCTTAGATGTGGGTAAGCACATGTAGTGTAGTCTGGGACTCCAGCATTGGAATTAATGGGTCATAGCAGGAGGCCTGGGCCTCATACTGTAACTGGATTCTGAGGTTCTAACAAAGAGTAATGATGGAAATATAAGGGGTATAATCAAAATGCCCACTTGGGGAACCACAGAAATTAAGGCTTCTTTTTCAAGACTGACATCAGCTTGGGTTTACATTGATGAAGAACTGGCACAGGGGCCAGAGGGCTTCCTAACCAGGTATTCCCAGTTCTACTGTGCTGTGCTTGATCACTAGCTCAGTTCTGCCTTCTCCAGGTGGGTTGAAGAAGTTCCATTGCTTGAGAGAAGCATCCAGTACTCTAATTCTGCCTCCACTTAAGTCTAAAGTCCTACTGGGACCCCAAAGATGAGCTTGGGCCAATGGGTCCCTTTGTTCCCCTTTTTGGCACATTGATTAAATTTCCTGTCTCTGACCCCTTTTGAGTGACAATGAAGCTTGGCTGCTCCCCAGAAAGGATGGAGAAAGGTTGTCAGTTCATCAATGTCATCAGTTTGGAGAGTTGTCCTTGGAAGAGTTCTGGAAACAGTCCGTTCCCAATCCTTCAAATGTACTTTGCCTGGATGCTAAACTCTAAAGAGAGGCCCTGCCTGGGTGGCTACCACATTGACTACCAAATATTTCTCTAAAGTTACAGGTCCCAAAAAATCTAGTGAGCTTTGTAACCCCCTTCTGAATCTGCAGGAGGTCTGAGTCCATTGTGAAACAACATTTCTGGCCAGAAATAAAAAAGAAGAGGTCAAATATGGCTGCTAACCTTGCTCTGCAAACCCTTCCTACCCGCTGATGCCTTCAGAGGCCCTCCATACCAAAATGTTATGTGGAAGGGAGGCCTCTCTTTTTTTCATATTGAGAAATTTGGTTTGTTTGTTTGTTTTGGTGAAGTCACTTTCTTTGTCTCAACACATTCTTTCTCTACTCAGATACCTGGTGATGGGACAAAAAAAAAGGACATCCCAGCTTAGCTCTAGGTAACTGTCAGGGCAGGTATAGAAATGAGCTGAGAAACATGTTCTTTCCCCCTTCTTCAAGTCCTCACTCACAGGCCGCACCACCAGTGGACAGACACCTGGGGGAAGGAAGGAAAATAGGGACTGTCCTGAGTGATACCACCAGTGCAAAGAGACCTGGGGGAAGGAAGGGGACAGGGTCAGTGCTGACTCACAGGTCACACCACCATTGCCCATAGACCTGGGGGAAGGAAGGGAGTGGGATCAGTTGCACATAAAGGACTATTCAGATCCTGGAATCAGATCACTCCCCCGCCCCACACCCTGTGAAAACTAACAGAACTTTGCAACACTTCCTCCAAACACAGTTTGTTCCTTTTTCTGATAGTTTCACAGAAACTTGTGCTTTTATTGGAAAACAGAAGTGAAATACAGATGTTAATCTCTCGGTGGTTTCTCAAAATATACTGTATATACCATGTGTGCCTTTCACATTGTCATGGACTCCACACACCCACATTCACAGTTTTATCAACCCTGTCAAGCTACACCACAGATGAACACACAGAAAGTCATGGCAAAAAAAAAAATGGATTTGAAAAAAACACAAATTTGCCACTGGGATGAATTGGGAAAGCACTGCTCAGCCACTTTTGTAATTCTTTAAGACTGAAGAAGCTGTCGTTTTTTGTTTTTGTTCTGGGTCACCTTACTCAGCCTTAAAACAAGGGGAGGTGCTTAGTCTTGCCACAATTTGATATGTGTTTTATTGATAGCCATGGGATACCTGCCCCCTTCTGAGAAGAAACAGAGTAGTGGATTGGGGGAAGCAGAGGGGAGGGGGAGACGGAAAAGGAGAGAAAGAAGAATTTGGCTGGGATATAACATAAATCAATAAAAAGAAAAGACAGAGAGGGAGAAAGAGAGAGAATGAAGAACAAGTGAATCTGTGACTTAAGGCTTGAGGGAAAAGGCAGATGTAAGTGGTGTTTTAAAAGCATCCTTAGCACATTTGAAGCAGGAGAAATATCCTGAGTAACAAGGACAGATAGATGTAAGAACTTAGGGTTTATGCATAAAGTTTGAGAAAAAGTTAAACTCACAAATGCTGAGCCAAAAAAAAAAAAAAGCACCAAGCAAAGATCTTCTTGTTAGCAGTTATTCAAACCTGTCCATAAGCGCCTACACTGCCCTGCATGCTATCCTTATCGGCCTGTGGTCAGAGCCACTTCCCTCCTGTGACTTCTGGTTCTTATCCATCAGAACCCAGTGTTTCCCCAAACAGGAGCCCCTTCCTCGTTCTAGGGAGAAATTACCTGACTGTAGCTCTCTACATAAAGTTCATGTGTGTGTGTGTGTGTGTGTGTGTGTGTGTGTGTGTGTGTGTGTGGACTCACTGACCTGAAAAGAATTTCAAATGGATCAAAGGAGTGAATGCCGACCAACAAACAAAGAAGTTGAGGCTTATCTTTGAGTACCTGTAACTGTGTTAAAATAATAAACTCTGCAGAAAACTAACTTCAGTGTTGTCTGCTTTTACCTTTTGTTGTTGTTTTTGAGGGAATCAAATAGGTTTAAATAACTTCTGCTAAGGTTGAATATTAACTGTCTCCAAGAGACCAATGTGCTAGGCAGTCTGTGACGCTGCTGGTAAGGAAGTGGCAGAAACTTTAATATCTGGGACTTAGTAGGAGGAAGTTAAGTCCCTGGTGTCAGTGCAAAACAAGGCTCTCACCCTACAGAAAATAAGAGGTAGTTTATTGTGGAGCCATAGTGAATGACCATGGCCCAGGAACATAGATTTAGGTTACCCCAAATTTCCTCTTCCAACGTGGAAACAGTTTTTGAAGTTTTAGACTTTTACAGAACAAAAATGTCAAAAGACTCTGAGAGGAACATCAGAGAGGCAGGAAGCAGTAGTCTTCCTGCCTCAGGCCTCAGACACTATCTGATGACATTTGCTTGGGGAAGTTAGTAGGTTGTTAAGGAAATGCATACCAAAAGGGTTTTTTTAACCTATTTCTCACAGGTTGTGTTATCTCAACACAGAGATGATGCAGGAATTCAGGGCTAAATGTGTTCTGCTATAAGGTAAAGATGTGCAACATCCCAACCTCTACATGCAGCTGCTGGTATCAGCCAGTCTTTCAGTTTCTAGCTTCTTTACAGGATTTCTCGCTGACACTGGGGGTGCATTTTTGGCAGACCATGTGAGGTCTTTGGCCCTCTTCCTTTCACTTCTTGTTTTGAGGAAGATGAGTAGTTCTGATCTACCCTACAGTCTCCCATCCTGGTGTATTGCCTTAACACAGGCCCAGAAGCAATGGGATCAACTAGCCATAGTCTGAAACCTATGCAACCTCTACCAAAATGAGCCTTTTCTCATTATAAGTTGAACACCAGAAGGTTGATACAATGTCCTTTACCAGGTAACTGCCCTGTTTCACTCTAAAGCAGAATTCTCTCCTGGTCTGCTTGTGGTTCCTTCCATAGACTTGATCTTTGCTACTCATCTTCCACCTCTTCTTTGTGCCTGAAAATCCCCCAGGTTTTTAATTCCATGGCTCTGTTAAATAGAGGAATAGTGAATTATGATAACCTTGTGTCACAGAGTCATCAAGAATAGTAGATGGATTTGCTTCTGAGGTCACTGTCAGAAACATCAGTTCTGTGTGGCTTTTCTGAGCTACAGAGTGAATTCAAGGCCTATCTGAACAACTCAGTGAGCACCCTCCTCAAAACGCCAGCTATAAAGAGGACTGGAGGTACAGCTCGGTGGTGGAGTGCTTAGCATTTATTTACACTGGTTCTAGGAACTACACCCGTATCCAGGAAAACGAAACCGATCCTTAACATGTTTTTTCATTTCATGTAATTCGATACTTGGATTCTTTTCAGCAGCCACAGCCAGGGAGTTTCCACAAGTCATTTCTCAGGCATCCATGAGGTTAGTGACATGAAAAGAAAAATCCCAAAAGTCCGAGGTGATGGATTTTCAAGCAAGACTACAGTGTTGCAGGCTATCCTGAGGAGAGAACGACAAAAGTTATTTTTGTTTAGGCACACTGTGGGAAAGGAGACAAGGCCTGGGATTCATGGAGTCCAGCTAAGGCCCTCAGGCAGGAGCAAATGGAAAATTACAAGTGCGCGTCAGTTCCTGGATTTGTTTAAGGTCTTGGCTTGGGTTTAATAAAGTTCTTTGAAAAGCCTGCAGCAGCTGCCAAGGTCAACAGGCAGGCATGTTGTTTTCTGTCACTCAGCTCACACAGGAAAGCAGAGGGGGGATGGGGAATAGAGAGCTCCATGTAAAAGCATTAAAAAAAAATCTGTGTTATTTCCTTCTTTTATTGTTTTCAAGATGATAAAGCGAAGACTATGAAAGACTATGAAAGCAAAGGTATGGAAATAAAAGCTATGCTGTGCTTCTGATGCTCTGTCCAGTGCCTAACTGTAATCTTGAAACACAATACTGTCCAGCGAAACTCCAGTGAGAGCTGTCTCACTGAAGCCTCTGCTCTCTCATCCCCTCCTTTTCTATTCAAAAAAGGGCAGGCCTCCCATGGATATTGACAAAGCATGTTATGTCAATTTAAAACTAAGTACCTTACTGTTGGAGGAAGGCCTCTTGTTGGTTCCTGTTGAACACCAATTTGTTGGAGGAAGGCCGCTTTTGGTTCCTGACTACTCAGCCCTGAAATAATCACTGTTATTCTTTTGGCCCTTTAAGGGGCAATCCGGCGACCCCTGACCTCTCCCTGCTATCTTGGATCACACATTCTTACTGCTCTCTTCTGGGGGTTGCGCGCATCTCCCCATCTCCCCCCCCCTTTTTCTCTGGCTCTCTGTCTCTTTCTCTCCCTCTCCTTTTTGCCAGGTTACCTCACCAAATAAAAAATACTTTTCATTGCACAAAAATATGTCACAGTCATTATACAATATATGTGTCTAAAACTTCTGTTTTTACAAACCCAAGGAGTTCTTGTGAATTCCAGGGAGCTGCATTGAAGGACCCACCTTCAACAGGTCAGATACATGCTCCTCAATTCCCTGGTCCTAAATTTTTTTCCTTAATTTAACTTTGTTCTTTGTTCTACCAATACCTTGAATAGGATAAGAGACAGCAGACATTTTCATGCCACAGACACCAGTCAGAGGCAGTGACCAGCTATGCCAGGATGTGGCCAGCACACAGCCTTCTCAGGTTCCCTCCCCAAAGACAATGCCCACAAATCAGCCGGAAGCAGTCTTGAGAATTTGCCGCCCCAATTTCGTCAAACTGTGGTGTCTAATCTCCTACTTTTTATTATAAAAAGGATCTTTCAGGTGTGCTGTTAAGTCACTCATATGAGAATTTTCTAATTTCTTTATTCAGGTACTTAGTGGAAGGAACTTTCCTCTTAGCAGTGATTTCATTGTGTCCCATAAATTTGGGTATGTTCTGTGTTCATTGTCATTGAATTCTAGAAAGTTAATTTCTATCCTTATTTCTTCTTTCATCCAGTGATATTACAGTAGAGAGTTACTCAGTTTCCATAAGTTTGTTGTCTCTCTGTGGTTTCTGTTGTTGAAATCCAACTTTCATCCATGTTCGTCTGATGGGATACAGGGCTTATTTCCATCTTCTTATATCTCTTGAGACTTTCCTTGTGACTGAGTATATCATCAGTTTTGGAGAGGTTCCCTGAGGTGATGAGGGGAAAAAAAGATATATTCTTTTGTGTTTTGGTGAAATGCATTTGGTAAATATTTTTTAGGTCTATTTGAGTCATAACATTCGTTAGTTCTATTATTTCTCTACTTAGTTTCTGTCTGGATGACCTGTCCATTGATGAGAGTGGAGTACTGAAGTCTCCCACCATTAATATGTGGGGCTTGACATTTGATTTAAGATTTTGTAATGTTTCTTTTGCAACTGTGGATGCCTTTGCATTTGTGGTATAGATATTCAGAATTGAGACATCATCTTGGTCAATTTTTTACTTTTGATGAACATTGTAAAAGGAGCGGCGGGCTGCTTTTCGTCCCACCGCCGGCTGCCCGGCTAGCTTTACCCGAAATAATTACACGGAAACTGTATCATTTAAACACTGCCTGGCCCATTAGTTCTAGCCTCTTCTTGGCGAACTCTCATATCTTGACTAACCCATATCTAATAATCTGTGTAGCACCACAAGGTGGTGTCTTACCGGGAAAGATTCAGCATGTCTGACCTGGCGGCTGGCTCCATGGCAGCTGCCTGATTTTGCTTCTTTCTCCCAGTGTTCTCTTCTGTCTACTACACCTATCTATGTTCTGACCTATCAGGCCAAGCAGTTTCTTTATTAATTAACTAACGAAAACAACACATAGAAAGAAGACCTTCCTACATCAAAACATGAAATGTACTCTGTCTCTTTTGATTAATTTAGGTTTGAAGTCTATTTTGTTAGATTTGTTGCTTCTTCCGTCCATTTGACTGAAAAATCTTTTTCCAACCCTTAAGTCTGAGGTAATATCAATCTTTAACACTAAAGTATTTTTCTTGGAAGTTGCAGAAAGATGGATGCTATTTTCATATCCATTCTGTTAGCTTATATCTTTTTATTGACAGACTGAGTTCATTAATATTAAGAAATATTAATAACCACTGATTGAATGATTGTTCCTGTTATTGTGGTAGTAGTGGTGATGGTGTTAGTGTGTGTCTGTTTTTCCCTTCTTTGGATTTTGTTGGTGTGATATTAACTATTGCCCTGTGTTTACATGAGTGTAAACGTCCTTGGGTTTTAGTTTTTCTTCTAGTATCTATTGTAGGGCTGGGTATGTCAACAGATATTGTTTAAATTTAAATTCATTGTCATGAAGTATCTTGTTTCCTTCATCTACGGCAAATGAAATTTTTTCTGTATATATTAGTCTGGGCTGGCATCCGTGGTTTCTTAGAGTCTACAAGATCTGTTCATGTCATTCTGGCTTTTAGAGTCTCCATTGATAAGTCAGCTGTGATCCTTATAGGTCTGCCTTTATATGCTACTTAGTCTTTTTCCTTTGAAGCCTTTAATATTATTTCTTTGTTCTGTGTATTTAGTGCTTTGATTATTATGTGACTTGGGGAATTTTTTTTCTCTGTTCCAAACTGTTGGGTGTTCTGTATGCTTTCTTATACCATTTTGGCATGTCCTTCTTTAGGTTAGGTAATTTTTTTCCCACAATATTGTTAAATATATTTTCTAGGTTTTTGAGCTGGAATTCTTCTCTTTCTATTCCTATTATTCTTAGGTTTGGTCTTCTCATGGTGTCCCAGATTTCCTGGATGTTTTGTGTTAGAAATTAGTCGGCTCTAACATTTTCTTTGACCAATAAATCTATTTCTTCTATTATAACTCAATGCCTGAAATGATCTCTTCCATCTCTTTTTTTGTTGGTGATGCTGGTGTCTGTAGCTCTTGCTCACATACACAGATTTTCCATTTCCTGAATTCCCTCAGTTTGTGTTTTTCTATCATGAATCATTTTCTTCACCTGCTTGTTTGTTTTTTCTTGGGTTTCTTGCAATTCTTTAATGTATTTGTTGATTTCCTCCAATTGTTTTGGTTGTCTTTTCCTTGAATCTTTAAGGGAATTTTATCTCCTCTTTAAGGACCTCAATCAAGCCTCATAAAGTTGGTTTTAAGATCATTTTTCTTGTGCTTTGTCTGTGTTGGAATCTTCAGGGCTTGCTGTAGTGGGAGGGCTGAGCTCTGGTGGTGACATACTGCCCTGACTGTTGTTGCTTGTTTTCTTACATTTACACTTATTCAGTTGGATTTGAAGAGATTATAGGTCTAGGTGTCAATTTATGGATTTGTCTCGCATAGAATGGTGTTTTCTTCCTTTGTTTCTGCTTTCTATCCAGTCTTCTGGATCCCATGATTAAGCAGAGGGTTGTTGAAAGCCACTTAAGACACTTTTTTGGGGGGTGACTTCTGCTGCAATTCTAGTCATAGCAAGTTCAAACATTCTAGGATAGGGATGTGACTATTAGAAATGTTAGGTAGAAGGAACAGAGATATAAACACAGAAACACAGGATAGTAACAGGAGGGCAACTCAGTGCCTCATGTATACTGAGTTCTGAGTTCTTCCATGTTTGCTTTTCCAAACACTTTTATACCCCAGCACAAAAGGGAGAAAGAAGGCAAAAGACTACTTTAACATGATAGAAGGGACAACAAGAACAGTTAGTTGTTTCAGTACTTGAGACATCGAGCCATTAATTCCGTAGAAAAGAATTTGATGTCTGGGGCAGTGAATACAAATAGACCAAGTATCCTGAAAGCAGGCACTCCCTAGGTCAAACCTCCTATTTCAAAAGAAGGAGCAGAAGTATGCTTGAATTCTAGGACCTCTAGTCAGGATGGAGTGAATCTAACTCTATGGGTCATCTTAATGTCTAAAACACCAAGTAACCACATTCTAGGTCAGTATAGCTTGTTTTGTAGCTTCACATTTTGTCAACAACTTTGAAAGAGCAAAAATCACCTCAAGCTCTCTGACCTTCAGACAGGACAGAACAGGTTCACAATTTTAGGTCTCCACAGAAAGAAGACCTCTGCCTGTGATGGGGGCTGGGCTTCTAATGTCTTGGATGGCCTCTGGTCCAGCAGGGGGAGGCTGTCCAAGTTTGGTGCTGAAGTTCTGGCTATGTATGTGCATGGTCTCTGATCTGGTCAGGATTCAGAAGTTGTTCTGGCTTCTGGTGAGATAGGAGGTTTCTGCCTGGTTTTCAAAGAGTTGACCTGGTTTTGGGGGGTGGGAGATTTCCTCCAGAGGCGTGGACTGGGATCAGATAGCAAAGAGAAAAGGGGGCAATTGTTCTGCTTGGCAGGGCACATAGGGGTTGGGTGGACTGGTGTCCCATTTGGTTTTCAGGATGCTGGTGTGAACTCTGAGGGAGTAGAAGTCTTCTGCCAGAGGTGTGAACTAGGATATAGTGATGAGCAGAAGAGGCATAGTTGGTTATGCTAAGTGAGCACATGCAGGGTAGGGTACAGTATTGCCTGGGGTTCAGGATGTTGTCCTGGTCTCTGGGGTCAGAGGAGGCTTCCACCAGAGAAATGGGTGTGTATGTGATGACAAGGAGAGGAGGTGCAGTTGAAGTTTTGTTGGGCCCTGCCAATAGATTACTAAACAGTAAGAGCCCTTCTCCACTTCTGTACAGGTGAGAGTCTCAACTGTCAACTGTAAGGGCAGCCTGGAGAGAATGGAGCTGAGGGCTTTTGTTTCTTTGTGTTTGCATTTTGCGTTCTATTCAAATACCAATAATTCATTCCAAAGCACTCTCAAAAACTGCTTCTCTGCAATGAATTTAGAACCTTAAAATAAATGAAAGATAAAGGATCAGAGTTAACGGGAGCCTTGGAAGGAAGATGAGTAAAAGCCATTTTGTACCCCAAACAGGATCCGGTGGTGGGTACTATCCGGGGGAGACAGTAAAGTGAAGGAGGCTTGACGAAAGTATGGACTCCATTACTAATGACATTATATGAGCTCATTAGTTGGACTAATATATACTGTTAGTGTGGGATGTTAATGATAGAAAAACTGGCTATGAGTATATGGAAACATGCCTTCCTCAAAAGGCATTCAAACATTGATCTAAAACAAAAGGGGAATTGTCTGTTAGAGTAGAGGGAACTACAGTCAATGCCTGTTCAAGGAGCTGAGAATTCATCTCCAGGTTCTAACATGTTTCTCTCTTTGCAGACTCAGTATCACAAGGCCATCAGACAAAGACAGCTGAGCTGTCCTCAGCTTGAAGTGTATATTCTGAAGGATGTCAGTACACACTTAAATGGTAGTGAATGAATTTTCCAGACTATGGTCTCACATGTGAATTTAACCCTGAGAAAAATCACAGCCCTTTAAGAGAATTGAAGTTTTTCAAGTCAATTACATCACTGGAATTTAAACACCATTTTGCATTTGTGATTCACAGAAATTCCATCTCTGACACACATTTGCCTTGCATGCCCTCCTTTGACATCATGGTTGATACCCTCAAGAATTCTTATTTCTGCAAAATAAGAATCACATGACTGGCCTCAAAGTCGTCCACCAGCACAAAGTGTCCTTGGACAAGCTTGAACCAGCTTCATGGACGTGGAACATAAAATTAGCTATCACAAGTCCACTTTGTCTAGTACCTTGTGACTCTTATTAAGGGGAATTTAGTCTCTAAAGTTAAAAATCAAACAACAACTGTGCTTCATCTTCACCAGAAAAGGAAGCAAAATCCTAGAGGGATGGTGACCACTCTCTTTGCATCCCATAACCTGCATACCATGACATAGGATTAATAGTATTTCACTACTAAAGTAACATCAATACATCTTATATTTCATGATAAAATAAGGAGAAAACAAAAGAAAGTTATTCACTCAATGTACTTTAGGTTTGTTCACAGACAATACTCACAATGCCATACTCACATGGTCATAGCCACCTTTTACAACTCACTTCTTTTACTGTTTAAGAATAGGGAAAGATGTTTGCATAACCTAAGCAGTCTTGTTGAGGCATGTTCCATCAGTGACCTATCATTGTATCCAGCCTCTCTTGCAGTGTGATTGAATAACTTGCCAAAACTGTGAGAAATCCCCTCCTAAGACCAAGTTCCTCCTCTGGAAGTTCCCAATGCCTCAGACTTCTGCTTCTCTATATTATGGGATTTCTAAGGAAGTTTAATTGTTTGTATATTTTGTTTCAGTGGTATGGTACCTGATGCAAAGGTCACCTGGTGTTTTTCTTCAGAAAAATCTCCTTTTCTTGTAAGGAACAAGGAACACTGAGAATAATCCAATTGAACAACAATACTAGAAAGATTCCAGTTAAAATAACTTAACTGTATCTGTCATACTCACCTACACTCTTAGATCATACTTCTTAAAATAAAGTTCCCTGCTATAAGGTCACACATGATGATGAATGGAAATCTGCACAGAGCGACACCCAGAAAATCATGTGTATGCTTCTGTGTGGGAACCAAATGGGGGGACAGCACTCAGGCACCTAGATCTATTAGGTACTATGCAAGCCAACTACAGGCAAAATCAAGCACAAGACAGAAGCAGGGGTAATACTATGCCTTCATATGGAATGTTCTGAGGTATAAAATGGTAACTTATCAACGGAATGAATGAGGGGGAGGTAAAACTCAGAATGATAAGTGTTGACTCCAAGCCAGGCCTACCCCCACCTCAGAGGCTGAACCAGGAGAATCAGTGTTCAAGGCCTGCCTAAACTACAGAGTGAGCACAAGACTAGCATGTGCAACTTAGTGAAGCCTTTCTTGAATATAAAAGGTAAAACAAAGTCTGGGAATATATGTTTCTGGAAGTATACTCATCTAGTATGTAAAAGGCCCTAGATTCAATCCATAGCACTTTAGAAAAAAAGTAAAGAGGAAGAATAAGAGAGAGAGAGAGAGAGACAGAGAGAGAGATAGAGAGAGAGACAGAGAGAGAGACAGAGAGAGAGAGAGAGAGACAGAGAGAGATCAGTAGGAAAGGAAATGCTGGCTCCATATCACATCAGTCTCTGAAATGGATTCTCAGAAATTACAGAAAAATTAGATCATCTTGGTTATAGTTCACATGAGATAATCTTATTGAAAATATTCTTTCACAGCTCACATGATCTATTACCCAAATTTATTCCAAAAAATTACATTGCTTAACGGAATGAAACTGATGTGTAGTCATTTATGAGCCAATCTCGCATTACAATACTACTCAAGATAAAGCCTATTGCCTCTGCTAAGCTACGAGTTATTGCTTGCTTGTGTTGGCTTTTATTTTGCAGACCTTGAAAATTAGCAGAGTGTGATTAGTAATGTTGAACACTTTCTCATATACCTGTCAGCAAATTCTATTTCTTTTGTATAAAAATCTATTCAAATCCTCTATCCACATATAAGCCAGGTTACTCATCCACACATAGAGTATTGTGATGGTTGGTGTTGGCTGTTATTAACTTGACTGAATTAAGAGTTATCTAGGACTCAAGAAACATATCTGTGTTTGTGGGAGTGTTTCAATAGCAGAATTTTTTGGCACAGTAACTGGGGCAAAGAATACGCCTTCAGTTTGCACATAATTGCATCCAGGTGACTGCATGGAAAAACAAATGCAGAAGGAATTAGCCACACCTACAAGTTTCTTCTTTATGAAGAAGTGTATCTACTGCTGCTACTGCTGCAGCTGTTGATGTTGGTCTTGATGACTGATGTGGGATTCCTCTCTGTATGCTGTAAATACCATTGGTTAATAAAGAAACTGGCTTGGGCTGATAGGGTAGAACAGAACTAGACAGAGAAAATTAAACTGGATGCTCGGAGAAAGAAGGGGTGGAGTCAGAGAGAAGCCATGTAGCCCTGCCAGAACTTTTACCCAGTAAGCCACAGTCATGTGATAATACACAAATTAATAGAAATGGGTTAAATAAATATGTAAGAGCTAGCCAATAAGAAGCTAGAGCTAATAGGTCAAGCAGTGATTTAATTAATACTGCTTCTGTGTGGTTATTTCCAGAGTCTGGGTGGCTGGAAAATTAGCAAGCAGCCTCCTTACTACAGATAATGATGATGATGAGGTAGTGGTGAAGGTGATTGTGAGCAAGATGATCTCTAGTTTTTTTCATTTGACTCTAGGTAGTTTTCCAGTCCCTTGGTGCCAATCTGAGGCTGCCAAGTTTCCTGGATTGGGCATTACCTAATTCTCTGCCTTTCCAACATGCAGCAGGCCCACTCATATTGGATTTCCCAGCTGATACTGAGTCAACCAACACAATAAATTCCTTACTGGGACTCTCTTCAAAGGGAATTCCAACTTAAGCTGAGAGTTTAAGTTAGCCATCATGATTTTCTTTATAATATATATTCTTTTGCTTTCGTTTCTCCAGAGGACTTTGCCTGATGCAAGTACCTAGTGCTATAGGCACTTTTGTTTCTCAAATAAATATATGCTCCTCTTCTGGCCTGAAGCATACAACAGAAGAAGCAGATTCATTTGACTACTGGAAATTTCTTCAACAGCTAAAATAACAAAGATGAGAAAATCAGAAACCTAGTATTAACTGAGTCTTTGCAAAACATATATAATCTACTTCGATTTAATAACTACCGCAGGAAGATGGATGAAACTAGGGCTACATTCAGAAAGATAAGTCTCAAATGTTCATCTATAGAACCAAGAGAGAAATGAAAGACTACAAACATGAGTACAGTAAGGGGTCTATCAGAAAGCACAAGGTATTATGATGGGGAAACTCTGTTAACCAATCACAGCTAAATGGGGTGTGGCGACCTGGAACCCAGGAAGAAAAACCGAGAGATCCAAGTGCCCACCAGACCGACTGGAATTCGGACCTCCCACTCTTGTAGCATGAGTTTCCCCTTTTCAACTATTAAAATATAACTGTTATTCTTGAGCTGGTCTGGTTATTTATCGTACCGACCTAATTCGCCAACACTTGAGGTTATTTATCATACCGACCTAATTCGTCAACAGGGTTTGGTGATGGAGTATAAGGTAGGTTTATCAGATTTCAGTGGCAGCAGGAGAAATTGCTCTGCACAACCAGTTGTATCAGCCTGAGTGAACTTCAACACTGGTGAAGCTGATGATCTTGATTTCCACTGCAGACAAAACACATCAGGATGAGTCAATAACAAACAAAGTTGGAATTATTTTTTTAAAAATATGAATTGAATTTAAGCACGGGTATTGGGGTATAGTGGTGATACACTTCCTACAGCGAAGCATGACCTGACAAAAGAGGTACATCAAGTGTCTCTACAACACTTACACTATTATTCAAGAAGTTGATTTATGTATTTATATTTTAAGTGTATGCCTGTTTTGCTGCATGTATGTTTCTGCACCGTATGCATGAAGTTCTAGTGGAGGCCAAGAGAGGTCATCAGATCCTCTGAAACTGGAGTTATAGATGGTTGTGATCTGCCTTGTGGATGCTGGGAACTAAACCTAGATTTTCTGCAAGAGTAACCAGTACTCTTAACCTCTGAGCCATCTCTCTAGCTTACAAGATTTTGGAGCTTACACTGCTCAAAGGATTTAAAATTTTTGAATGGTTTTATCTCAAGAAATTTCTGTAATAAGTAGGTCATAAGGTGTTTGATTTCTGGGGTGCATTGTATCAGGTGTACACAGTGAGAAGTCACCAGGAAGTTCTCTGCCTATGTTGTAGCTATAAACATGTCTAATCTTGATTGTGGTGTTCTCAGAAACTGTTTGTGGATGAAAGAGAAGGTTAAATAACATGGTGACTTATGCTTTCTTTCTAATGTGGTTCCTACCATTCTGACACGCTTATTTGAAGCATATCTATTGGGAAAAAAGACTATTGTCTGTTTGGAGGTAGTATTCACAGCATGTTTTTGTTAGTTGTGCTGAAATTCTTGACTCTTAGACACTGGGAGATTTCAGAGTCATTTCTTTGCTGTGTCTCTTTCTGTTACCATGTCTGTCTGTCTTGACTCACAGTGGATGGGGAAGGCATAACTTCATGCAAAACTCAGTGAAACCACAGTGAAACACATTATCTTGCAATATGCTAATAAAAAATAGATACACCCAGTGTCCTGATTTTTAAAAAAAGAGAGCAAAGTTGGACATCTTTCAGATTCTTACATGCAAAATTAACTCAAAATATAGCACATACATGTAGGATTTAAAATATTACTACTTTTAGAAGGAAGCAATATTAGATAGAAACTAAAGGAAATACTAGACACTATCAGCATTATGCACTACGGTATCTGAAAAGATGTTGTCGAAAAAGGGCAAAGCTAAGCCACCAAGTGTAAGAAACTATTTGAAAATCATGTATCTGGTAAGAAATTTATGTGTAAGATATATAAATGTCCTATACAATTGAAAATTTAAAAGATAACCCATGTTTTAAATGTATTTACAGGTGCGTGTACAAAGGTCAGAAGATGATAATGGGCCCCTGTAAGTGGAGTTACAGGGAGATGTAAGGCATACCATATAGGTGCTAGGAACTCATCTCAGGTTGTCTGCAGGGAAAAGTGCTCTTAACCACTAAGCCACTTTAGCCAATGATGCTTCACTATTTAAACAGAGAAAGAGACAACCATAAAGTCATATACCTGTGAATCCAGCATTCAAGTTCAGAGGCAGAAGGACTCATACAATTTTGAAGTATAGTGAGTTCCAGGCCAGCCCTTGACCACTGTTCACACACTTGCTTTTTCTCTAGAGCTGCAGAATAGTTTCCTTCCTTAAACAGCTGGCCTCCACAGCCTTTCATAAAGTCTTTGTAAATTCCATAGTTTGTTGGACACTGAAATCCCAAATACTGTTCAGCCATCTTCACATGGCCTGACACACACTGGGGTCAGCACTTAGGCTATAAATATCTCTTTCAATTCAGTGAATTTGTTGTGGGTTAGTAAGATGTGTTCATTGCTGAAGCTTACATGATTTTGATGATATCTCTATGTAACAAATGGTTTCGACAACTAGCAGTTGCTACATGTGATTCTTAAAATAAGATGTAGACAGCATCTTATTTTGGCTTCACTAACTCTGTTTAGTAAAGGAAGACATAAAATACAGCTCTAAATATTTATGAGCACTCACTTTGTGCTAAGACCCATTAAGACAGCAGTGTGTAAAAGTTATCCCCCGCTAAAGGTCCAACACTAGTGTTTTCTAAGAGATGTCCAGCCAGTTCCCTTCTCAACTGCATACAGCCCTATTTCCAGTACTGAAGGATTTATCATCATAAAGCAATCATTTCAAGTCTTCTCACCTCTCCAGACAAACAAATTCCTGGTAGACATAATGTCAATGTTACTCTTCCAGCAATACCAAAAATCTATTTAGCAATGTAAAGATTGTATAAATACAAATTGAGATTAAATTCTGTAGGGCCCAAATTTACTCTTCCTAAATATGTTAGGACTATGATCTTTTTATGAATAATAGGTATTGGTGTCACTTGTAAGTTGTATGGGATTGACCTACAATTGAGCCGGTGGAGGTTTTATATAGTGGTTTAGTTGCTCTAAGAAGTACTTTAAAGATTAAGAGTTAATTATGAATATTAAGGCTTCTAATTTTCACAGTCGGGTTATGAGGTACAGGTGCACTCATCCAAGTGGATATGTGCATTTTGATTTTGTTGCTGAGGTAAGAAGCAGATAAAGAAGCTCAGGTTGCTCAAAGTAAATTCCAAATTCCTGTTAATGGTGACACAGATATGGATGGAATTGAGTCATGTTACCTCAGAACAGTAAGTTTTCCATTCCAGGAACAACTTGCAGTTTGCCTTATTTTCCTTTATGCTTAATCTTAAACATTTTGAAGCGAATTCTGAGGTAATACTTGAAATTTCAGACAAAGTAGATTCATATATAAATATTTCTACTGGGTCTTCAGAATTTATCATCTTGTCTATCCAGTACGATTCATCCATTCTCAGAGTTTACCTTGCCCCATTCTGCCTAATCCACTGGTTAGAGGGCCCTATGGGTCTCAAAAGGAAATCATTCAAGATCACGATTGACACCCTAGATGTATAATCCATGTTTAGTAATACCATCATGGCTGCAATAACCGTGCTGACACTTAATTTAATGTTAGACCTTTGTCTTGCCCTTTATTTTCTGACACAGATTACGTTATAAATATTGAATGTTTCTTTTTAATTTTCCAAGTTAATCTTTAAGCTAGTAAGTATTATGGCATGCTATGACACTGTTCTACATTTTTCTCATACGGTTTTGATGTTGAAATTGTTCTTGCGCACTTCTCTCTCCTATTGCCTCTACATGTCATCTTCCCAATTCAAACATTAGTTTCCCTTTTTTCTTCCCTGAGAAAAATCACTTCTGCTTTCTTGTCATATGCATTCAATGGTGCTTCTGTTAAACCTGAGACTCTCAAAGAGAAAAAAACAAATCCAATTGTCAAATTAAAGCAAACTATATTTTGGGGTGCACCTG